TTTTTGGTAAATCGAATCAATGCAATGGTATAATAGTTGACTTTGAACGGAGAAAAGAAATATGTAAACTATACATAGTTTTGCAGGTTGAGAAGTTTAAATTTAAAATAAAATTATTATTCTCTTAATTGAGGATTTGATTAAAACATAGAAGGAATAAAAAGAGTAAGAATTAAAATAAAAATACAGACTAAAATTTAATATAAATTTGAACCATAATTGAACCCAAAATATCTCTTCGATTTGGTTGATCAATTTGAGGAAAAAAAACAAAGATTTGGTCGATGATTTGAGAGTCTATGCCTGTGATATTGGTTGATACGATTGGAGAAAATATTGGTGAAAAATTAACGATTAATATTATTTTCAATTTCGTGTTTTTTCACACTTGTGCTTGCTATATTTTACACAATTCGAGATCTCTATTAAATAGATTATTAAACAATTTCTTTTTGTTACAATAGTCCGGTCATTCTTTACATACAATGGTTTAAGAATTGGATCCGCTATTAAATCAATAAAAATATTAGTTTATAGTTGAATAATTTAATTATAATTAAGCTGTAGTTAAATTGATAATAATTTGGGTTATTTAAAAGTTTAGGTGAATTACGTTTTCAAAACTCATCAATGTTAGCATATTATCCCAAGACTCAGAGAGCATTTTTACATCGCCCATTAACAAAATTTTCACATTGATAGTAAAATTTAAACTTGTGTCCTTGTAATTTACATTTAAATAAAAGCCAATAATAAAACACTACACACACTATATTTAGACATACATACATATAAACTAGTTTCTATCACCAATTTTTATTGATTTTTAGCTCATTCGTACCAATTATGAGATCAACTAATTTTTTAGATTAAATAGCCCAAACAAATGAGTAAATTTTAGTTTAATTGATTGAACTAGTCATTTCAAATCAATTTTTAAAATAATGTTGATATATCTCATTCATTTTTACAAGTATAGTTAAACATATGATTTAATTAAATATTTATTTCATAAATTTTTTATTTTAATAAGTTAAATTATTTTTATAAATTATCTACAAACTCTTGAAAACAGGTTCTACACTTAGGTCTTTCCTCTTGCCTGCCAACGATGTTGAGAATAGCTGAACACAGAGAAAAATAGGCGTACACAGTTGATTGCATCTTGGTTTGGAAACATGAATTCGGGAATGGACATTGCCGGTGAAAACGCGAAATCACTGCTCAAACCATGAGAGGAAACGATGGAAACAATAAAATATTAATAAAATTTAAATAAATAAAGAAAAAGACACATTCATCTTCTACTTAATGTTATTTTAACAAATAAAATATATAATTTTTGAGTAATTTTTTAAAATTATATGGATCATGTATTTCAATTTTTAAAAATTTTAAAAACTATTATTAATTTTAAAAATCATAAAAGTATTATTTTATAAAGTAAAATTCAAAAAATTTAAAAGATTAAAATACATAATATATATAAAATTCAGAACTTATTTAAAACTTTATTTTAAAAATTGTAGTTCAACAAAGAACTTGTGTAGAGGTTAGTGATCTCCTTATGTAAAAGCCACAAAAAATATTTGTTTTTTTAATAATGTAATAAATTATATTTAAAAATTGTTAACGAATGATTTTTTGTATAATTTAAACAAATTAATTTTTTTATATTTTCCTTAAATAATTTTATGTTCTTTCTGAACAAATAAGTAAAAATATAGTATTATTTTTCTTTTGTTTTAAAATTAAAATATTAATTATGCAAAAGGAATTTTTAGTGGTAGTTTTCACGTGTACTGTTAAACAGATATAATTTTAAATAATGGTTATATCTTATTTTTTAAATTTTTATTTACATCTATTACATTCTTTTTCTCTTATTTTCTTTCTCATGCAAGTGTATAGATTTATTATCAATTTCATGTTTCTTCCATTGTGGTTGCTTTATTTTACACACATGGAATATTTTATTAAGTGTGTTCTTAATTTTTTTTACAATAATTTATTCATTATCATTCTCAACACAATTCTTTTAATCTCAATCTTTAAAATTAGGTTTAAATATATATAAAAATTATATTTATTACATAAAAAAACACAATCTTATAAATACTTTTAACTCAATCATTAATGTATTCTTTATATGTCTCATCCAATTTTACAATTATGTCTTCTTCTTTTTTTATTGAGAACATTCAACATTACTAAGCATAGAAATAATGTACGAATCTAGATGTTCTCAGATTTGTAAACATAACTAAACATAGAGATAAAAATATACGAATCTATATATTCTTCGATTTATATATGAATATGATATCTACTTTTATTTTTATTTTAATAAATTTAATTTTCACTTAAACTAGTAAATATTAGCTTAAACAAAACTGCGTAAAAAGTAGTTTCTTTTCTTCAAATTAAATATTCATGTAAACTCCATTTCTTCTCCTCTGCATTTTCTTTCCTCCCTCCAATTTTTAATGTTTCATACTAAAAAAGGAACACACATGATTGTAACATTTTTAATCAATAAAAACCAAGACACAATGAAATAAAAAAAAAAAAAAAAACTCTTCAACCACTTATCAAAATAGAACAAAAACTGAGAGAAAAATTTGAGAGAAAGAATCTATTTGTTGCATTCGTATAGCTAACAAAATCTGCCATTCCATGTGATAAAATTACCAAAACACCACCACTCTCTAGTGATCCGGTCATTGTGAAAACCTCCAACCTCTTCTTTTCTCCACAACCAATTCACCTTCACTTCAAAACCAAAACCCTTCTCTCTCTATATATAAAAAAATACAACTAAACCAACTTCTTGTTTTTGTTCTTAAAACACAAGAAAACTCCTTAGATATACTTCTCTTTATAAAAAATAAATAAATTCAAAAACTCCATTAACAGTGTCGTCAAAGATCAACCCACAAGAGTGATTTGTATGTTCTGCACAATAAAAATAATTCAAATTCAAAATATGTTGAGTAGGGAAATTTTTAGGATAAAGGCAACGAGTGCATAAGTCGGTACGAATTTATCTCCTTTATAGACTTTTAACTTGTCTATATCTCATTGTCCTTTTCACAACACCATGAGGTGTAGCCTCATATCTAATACTACTATTGGATAGAAGGAAGTTTCAAAATAAGTAAAACAGTATAGTGCAACTCTAAAGCTATGTTTGAGAGTTAAGTTTAGAAGGGGAGGGGTTAAAAAGAGTTTAATCTTATTTAGAAGTTGCTTAATTAGAAGGGGAAGATTTTAGGAGTTTTTCTAAACCCTTCAAAAGCTTGTTTTTTGAATTCCTCTATTTTGAGAGTTTTTTCTCTCCTACTCTTTCATACTATTTCATAAATTGGATTTTAACTTTTTTAAAAAAATATTAATTTTTTAAGTGACAATTTTTTTAAAAATTTTTAAAAAATAAAAATATTAATTTTAAAATTATTTATATAATTAAACCTCTCTATCACCTTCCCTTCTCAATATTATACATTCAAATAAGAGAAGAGTTTAATTTTTTTTTCTCCTTCTCTCCCTCCAAACTCCAAAACAAAGCTTAAAATCTTAAAACATTAGGTGCATAAGTCTATCTTTTTATAGACCCATAACTTAAGCATATCCTATTACATGTGAGACTTAATTTATACTTGATTCTAACAGAATATACTTTTTGTTTACAACTTCGACTTAAAACATGACTTGTGAAATGAATATTACAAGTAGGAACCTGAAATCACTACTCAAACCAGAAAAGGGGAAACGAAATTTATGGACTAACTAAAATACAAATATTAATAAACTTAAATAAGTGAGAAAAATGAAATTATCTTTTACTTAATGTTAATTATTTTTAACAAATACAAAATTTTTTTTTGAGTCTAACATAGAGCGAAGAGGATGCTAACTCACATGAAACTGTGTAGTTTAGGCTAGCTATCTCCTTACGCAAAACCTTTTGATAAATCATATTTAATATTCCTTAAATAAGGAATATATATATATAGAAAAATGATCTTTTTACACTAATGTAAGTCTAAAAATTCTTACACTCACCTTTTATTTAACTTAAATATAATGGTCACTGAAGTAATAAATTATAATCCATTAGATTTAAATTAAATAAAAAGCTCAGGTGTAAAAAATTTTGGACTTATATCAGCGTAAGAAGATCTTGCCCCATATATATATATATATATATATAATATTTAACACTCTTAATTTTAATCACTAGTTAAAAATTGTTAAAAATTTAAAAAATGAGTGAAATATTTTAAATTAAGAGTAAAATGTATATTTTAAATTTTTAGTATATTTTTATCTTATAATAAAAATATTTTAAAATATATTTTAAAATTATATTAAAAATGTAATATTAACTTTTTTTAACTAACTAATATCATCTGTAGTTTTATTTATATGTCTAAAAAAAATACAATAAAAATTAATTATGTTATTAAAAAAATAATTTTAACACATGTTATCAAACACACAATAAAAATTTATATTAAAATTATAAAATATTACAAGATTCAATAATAACATTAAATATTATAATTTTTAATAAAAGCTTTACTATTTATTAATTTCTTAGTACAATTTTTTAACATGTATTCAATCATAAAATTTAAAATATTAAATATGCTCCATTAAATTTTTTGAATTGTTATAAAAAGTATGTATTAAATAATTTTTTATAATTTTAAGTTAATAAAAAAATTTATTTTATTTACAATTTTCTATTTTTCATTTCTTAATATATATTCTTAAGCACATGATAAAAATATCATTCTTAATATATTTACACATATTAAAAAATATTATTATGCTTAAAATTTTTATACAAATAACAACCAAATTTATTCTTCTCATCTTTTAAAAATAAATATTAAATACTACCAAAGAATGTAGCATTAGTAATTTAGTATTAACACACTATTACAACAGGAGTTAGTAAACGTCACAAGCACATCACACAACCACAAGCTCCACCTAACCGCAACCCACCCTACATCAAAATCTCTATAAAAACTCCACAACCCCTTAAACCATTTGAACACAATCCAAACCACATTAAACTCCAAACACACCATGGATCTCCGTCTCTTGGAGAAGACCCTCGTAGCCCTCTTCATCGCCGCAATCGTCGCCATTGCCATCTCCAAACTCCGCGGCAAACGCTTCAAGCTCCCACCGGGACCCATCCCCGTCCCCATCTTCGGCAACTGGCTCCAAGTCGGCGATGACCTCAACCACCGCAACCTCACCGAACTCGCCAAAAAATTCGGCGACATCTTCCTCCTCCGCATGGGCCAACGCAACCTCGTCGTCGTTTCCTCGCCGGAGTTAGCCAAAGAAGTGCTCCACACGCAGGGCGTCGAGTTCGGCTCACGCACACGCAACGTCGTCTTCGATATCTTCACCGGCAAGGGACAGGACATGGTCTTCACCGTCTACGGCGAGCACTGGCGCAAGATGCGGAGGATCATGACGGTGCCGTTTTTCACCAACAAGGTCGTTCAGCAATACCGTCTCGGCTGGGAGGCCGAGGCCGCCGCTGTAGTCGACGATGTCCGGCGAAATCCAGATGCCGCCGGAGCCGGAATTGTGATTCGGCGGAGGCTGCAGCTTATGATGTACAACAACATGTATCGGATTATGTTCGATCGAAGGTTCGAGAGCGAGGAGGACCCTCTCTTTCAGAAGCTTAAGGCTTTGAATGGGGAAAGGAGTCGTTTGGCTCAGAGTTTTGAGTACAATTATGGAGATTTTATCCCCATCTTGAGACCCTTTTTGAAAGGTTATTTGAAGATTTGTAAAGAGGTTAAAGATAGAAGGTTGCAGCTTTTCAAGGATTTTTTCGTTGATGAGAGAAAGTAAGTAGTTTTGCTTTTTCTTTTCCTTCTTTCGTTAATTAACCTCACCTATAATATTTATTGCGATACACGTTAGTTCTTAATAACATAAATATTTTATATTAGTTTTAGAGCAATTAGAAATGCAACCTGTATTTTTAATCTTTGAGATTAACGTAGATTTTATTTTTAACTATTTTAAAAAAATTTAACCTTTAAAGTCAATATTTTTTTGAATATTATTCCTAAATAATTTATTCAGCTCTTAACGTGTGAAGTTAATAAAACTATATTTTTAATTACCTTTCTTTTTTCACAATCTAATGTTGTCTGTTTACTTTTCTTTTCGGATCTTCAGTCTCAATCCAATGCTTTCTGTTGACTTTTCTTTTTTGGTGCTCTACGTGTTTTTTGTTTTGGTTTTTCTTAACGTGTCTGATTCCTAAGAAACATTTTTCTTTTTGGTACGTCAACTAGCTAGTTTTTCTCTTTTATTGCAGTTAGATTCTTCAATAGGGGATTAATTATATTATGGTATGCTTAAAAATGATTTTTTTCTCTCTCTCCTTATGTACTTTAATTATTTCATTAATGACACGATCCTGAATTAAATAGTTGAGAAATGCAATTCCCCTTACAATATGCTTAAAAATTTTGCGCTGCTATTCTGTTTCCTTGCAACTGTGAGTTATATAGTGTAGTAATTAATTAATTTTGTGGTAGTAACTTTCCTTTTCGTTTTTAGGAGTTAATAATCGTAGAAATTTGCTTTAGATTAGGGGATTTTGTTGTGGCAAACATTTATAGCTAATGAATTAAATTAAATGGTAATTAAAACAGGAAACTTGGAAGCACCAAGAGCACAAGCAACGAAGGACTTAAATGCGCCATTGACCACATTTTAGATGCCCAGAAGAAGGGCGAGATCAACGAGGATAACGTCCTTTACATTGTTGAGAACATCAACGTTGCTGGTAAGATGCCTTTTCTCTTGTTTTTAATTCCCCCACAAATGGCCTACTAATTTTATACTTCAGTTTAATATTATAAATAAATTTTAACCTTAGTATTACGTAATTAAAAAATGTTTTTTATTCATAAATAATATAATAAATATTATATTTTATTATTTTTAAATATTTAAATTCGACTTTAAAGATTATTTGCTATTTAAATTTACATGTGTATTTTTTTGCCGCGTCGTATTTACAACTTATGTATATTGGTGAAATAAAAATAAAAATATTGATTATAACATAGATCTTAGAAGGTTGCTGGAAATGGTGCATGACAAGTAGAGTTACCATTACGTAGCAATAGGCAGTTGGCATATGTCATGGGTCACTTCAATTTGTTTTTCTTTCAAACGTCGTTAACTGACGAGAAAGCTAACTGTTGATGGAAAAGGTGTGGCGCTGCAGAGCAACTTTCATTAATCATTTTATATAATAGTTAATTTTTTTTTATCTAAAATAAGATTTGGCTGATTTTTTTCTCCAAATTTATGTCATTTATACTATACAAATAACAGAATATGAGGCTAAATACGGATTCCACACAAAACACTTAGAACATACAATATAATAATTTTTTGTATGAAATTTAATTATGATCTCATAAGCTACATAAAAATTTGGTTAAATGCTATTATTTGTGTTTTTGTGTATCATTTATGAGAAATACCAAACATAACGGTATTCAATAGGCACACAAGAATCTTTTCAGGAGTCATTTTCGCGTATTTTTATGAGGGAAAAACGGGACACGTAGATATTTATTCATTGATTGAATGAGTAAGGGGTTAGGTGGATGCTTCAACTGCTGTGAAATCGCCCCATGCCAATGTAATGGCACCTATTCTTATCCCTTTGTCAACTTGCAAATTTTGATGTGTGACCCTAGGGGCAGATGATTTACACTAGGACTCGTTCTTATCTTCTTCTTTTTTTTCTTTCTTCTGAGTGTTTTGCGCATAATTCTATAAAAACTTCTAATCATTTAGCGAAAAAATATTGTTTATCACAGTTCCCAAATATAAGAGTTTGGTGACATTTTAGTCTCGTAGTAGGTAACGAAAGTGACCAAATTTGTTGGGTGGACCTACCTCCGCCCAAGTCGCAGGGGTGATTTACTTTATTATTATTATTACTAATTGGTTTAGATTAGAAGGTAAGGGAAGAAAAACACATATGAGGATCTTGATTCTTGGATTTTCTTACAATAGGGGTGGGTGCCGAACTGCCTACAAGGAAAACAAAGGCCTAGCAGCGTTAAGATTAAAATTTAAACTATATATTTTTTAATTGTTGATATTTTTCTTATTCATTTTTTAATATGGACTGATAATTATAGTAATTTATTTTTTATAAATCCGAATTGAATTTTTAATATTATTTATAATTTTGAAAATAAAATAAAGAATTGTTTATTATTACATGATCTGATTTTGGTTTTTGTGATGTACAAAACACAACAGCAATTGAAACAACTCTGTGGTCAATCGAGTGGGGCATAGCTGAGCTTGTGAACCACCCAGAGATCCAAAAGAAGGTGAGGGATGAGATAGTGAAAGTTCTGGGACCAGGACACCAGCTAACAGAGCCAGACATCCAAAAGCTCCCTTACCTTCAGGCAGTGATCAAAGAAACCCTTCGCCTTAGAATGGCAATCCCACTCCTTGTCCCACACATGAACCTTCACGATGCAAAGCTTGGTGGGTATGACATCCCAGCTGAGAGCAAGATTTTGGTTAATGCATGGTGGCTTGCCAATAACCCAGCTAATTGGAAGAAACCTGAGGAATTCAGGCCAGAAAGGTTCTTTGAGGAGGAGTCACATGTTGAGGCCAATGGTAATGACTTTAGGTACCTTCCCTTTGGTGTTGGAAGAAGAAGCTGCCCTGGAATCATTCTTGCATTGCCTATTCTTGGCATTACTTTGGGACGTTTGGTCCAAAACTTTGAGCTTTTGCCTCCTCCTGGACAGTCCAAGATTGACACTAGTGAAAAAGGAGGCCAATTTAGTTTACACATACTTAAGCATTCCACCGTTGTTGCAAAGCCTATATCACTTTAGGACTTGCATCAATCAATCAATCCCCTTTATTTTATTTTTCTTTCTTCTTACTCCGTGTATTGTATCAATGCTTCAAGTGGGGATGTTCCTGAAATGCCACCTGCCAGTGGGTAGGGAATGTTATTATGTGGTTCTCCCATTGTAAATCTCTGAACTTTTAAGTGATGGTTTCGAGATGATTTTGTAATAAGTTTTCTGTCTTTATTATTTTGTTTCCTATTTTTTATGGTAGTATTATCACTAGCATGCCAATGTCTAACTTTTAACTTGATCTTCGTGCGTTCATATATTTTTCTTTATGGATTACTTCGTTCATCGTAAAATAATTTACTGTTTGGTACAAAAACTGTACTATGTATTAGAGCAGTACAAAATAAACGTGTTTAATGAATTGAAATGATAAGAAGGAAAAAGACACAATTGACATAGCAGCTCACAATGGACACGTCGCAGCTAATTCACAAAAACAAGAAAAACAAAGAGTGCACTAAGCTTGCTAACTCAAGGTTGCTTGATTATGTGTGGTGGAAGAAATAGTATATAGCTTTCGGTGAGAGGAAAAAAAAAAAGGTATGAATGAATTAATTCTCTAATCCCTCTCTCTCGGGAATTTCTTCGTTTGGTCATTGTTTCTTTTTCTTAGCTATGTGATACTGCTACCTATCACAGTACTCATACCCATAACAACGTGACACTAATGAAACAAAATAAAAGGAAAAATTACGTTGAAATATAAAGGATGAGAAAATGTTAAATATAATTGTTCATTTGAACAAAATGCACGAGTCGTCTTAGTAACAATCAGCGTTTCTATTATTAATTATTTTTTTGTGTGTGTTGATGTTAGTTACAATAAAAGATAAAAAATGTATTTATTAATTGTTTAAATAAATACATCGTAAGCTTTATAGTTATATAGAAATAGAATAATTTTTTTTAATAGTGTTTTAAATGATAAAGAAGTCATAAATTATATTATTCTGAAATCTTAAAAATAATTATCATTTATTAATAAAAAAGAAGTTATTTTATTAACAAATTAATATTTAAATTCACAAAATTATTTTTGTTTTAATTTTATATAAATATATTTTTATTTTTATTTTTTAAAATAAATATTAATTTTTTTATATATATAAATTTTAAATTTTTTTTAAACTCTCTCTAATAATATATATTTTACTTAAAAAAATAAAATAATCAGCGTTGCTATAAGAAAAATTGTGTATATTACTACTAGTTGTAAAAGCTATGTATTGTATAATGTGGCGCGCTTGGGGAAGCGTGTTCTTGGAGTAAAGTTAATATAACAATACATATGTGAAAAAAAAAAAAAAAAAAAAACCATAACCAGCACCGGCGTGCGCAATAATAAAATAAAATCCGCGTAGTGTCAACCTCCCAAAATTAGTATTTGTTTTCTCGAAATTCTGATTATATTGACGATTTCTGTTTTTTCTGTCATAATTTGTATTCGTAGCCAAAATATAAATTACTAAGAAGTCGTCATATTGTAATTTGAGTTTATTATTCATATAAGTTTTACATCTTTTTATTGTACAAAAAATTATATAAATTTATCAAACAAATAGAATTTCTCTTGTAGTTTAATAAACAAGGCTGTAAAAATAGAAAATTTATACTATAATTTTATATAAGCATATATGTTAGAGAAATATTCCCTCTAATCCTTTTTTATAAAAAAACTAAATTATTAAAATAAAATAATAATTAAATTAGCTATATTTTTTATAAATATAAATTTTATTTAAAAAATATTTATGATATTAAATAGTGTAATAACTGTTTTATAAACTTAAAAGAAATTTAACAATTAATATATCTTAAATTTATTTAATATTTTTTATAATTAAAACTAAGAAAATATTTTATAAAAAAGGGGAACTAACATTCTTGCAAAAACTATTTTACACTTATTCAATAGGATGAAATACATCGTAACTTTTAACATGTATTTTTAATAAAAATAAATAATGGCATGTTTGTCTTTTTGTTCATCTGCAAGAATTGTTGCAATTTTTTTGTATGAATATCATATCTCTACGTGTTGTTTAAAGTTCTACAAGCTACATAGATGTGTGAGCATTTTACATTGAGAAGTGATTCTTACACAAATGTAAAATTTCAACCACCCATCACATGCTTTATCCTTTCCAATTCTTGTACAAAGTTTAATTCAACGACAGAAATCTTGCAGACATAAACTGACAAAAATCATGTTAACAATTACGTTTTTCTATAGATACTACTACAGCGTACACACAGATTGAAACATGTTAATAATCATGTTACACGTTACAAAGGAAAACACAGCCAATGTCCATTCTTTACTTTTACATGAAATCTGTATTACTGCTTTCTGTAAGAGTATATTTGCCGTTTCACATTCAGATAAACTAAGCATTATTGCAACTGAAAGGTTTCTTCAGTGAGAAATTAACTAAATGTGACTACCATTGCTTAAAGCTGTAGAGTAATTAAAAAGATCGCATAGCAAGAAAGAATGGCAGGTGAGTGAGGTTGGGTTCCTTTGACCCTTCTATTCTCGTGAATAAAAACTATAGCTTCTTTTGCGGAATAAAAGCTAAGTCTCAATTTAAAGTTTAAGCTTAATTTGTGAAGAAAAAAAAATACAGTACTTCAATCTTGTTTATTTAAATAAATTAAATTAAATTTGTTGAAAAAATGTAAAGTTTATTTAATTTGTTTCTTTTTATTTGTTAAATGTATTGTAAGTTTTTCTTAGTTTAATATTTATGAGATAAAAAAAAAGACAAAAATTATATAACGATACTATAGGTTTTTAAGATAAAATTATAATTTAATAACTATATATATATATATATATATTTTTTCTTATATAAAATTGACATTCTTTTTGTTATTACGGACATGAGTTATTTACAAGCGTTGAACATCAAATCTACAAAACTTAAACTTAAAGTGATTCATATAATCAAACTTAAAATTATACTTGACTCTAATTATTTATTAAAATAAATAAATTTGATCAAATATTTAAAAACTTGAGCTCAAATAATTCTTGAACAGTTAAATTTATTTAAACTATTGTTTTGTAGCTAGTAAGGCTTGAAATGTCTTGCTTAATGTGTATCCAAAAACATGCTTGCTTTACAGGGAATCTCACGTCATCTTTCTCAGCATTTCACAGGGCCCATTTTTATTTCAACGGTGGATTAGTAGTTATGTCCTTGTCCATCATTAATCCTGGAAGCCAACTTGGATGCTGCAATCCAACACGGGTTGTTTGCAGTGGTTGACACTTAGCAATAAGGACCATTTTTTAAAATAATATAGTCGCTTATTTGCTTCACATCAAGAATGCAACAACCTAAGTATTTTAATTTCCTAACTAAGCTTCTTTTTTTTTCTTTTTTTTTGGGGGGGACGTTCTCAAATTCAACACCATTCTCTATGATTTGAGCAGTTTTCACTTCAACGAAAATTAGATATTGTTACATCAGATAATAAACATGTTGACCCAAGGAATTAAATGTCGTGCATATAGTACCATGCTTCCTTACCAACCCGATCATCGATCCGCATATCATGCACAATTTTCAAATTTAATACTTGTGGAACCGTGTGTAAAAATATACACCCTGTACAGAAAACGGAAGTGCTAAAACTAAGAACATGGTGTGAATACCATAGTTATTGATGGAAACGAGATCAAAATGGTCCTGCATGCAGACAATATTATATAGAAGTAGGGAATGCACATTAATTGGGGTTGGTTTGAAGCGGAACTGGTACCCCAATGTGACTGTAAAAATGGAGATGATATATTTCGGGAAAGAACTTTTTTACAGGGACATTTTCACTGCATAAAATTTTGCCCCTTAAATTTTTTTTTATATTAAACTTCACTCTTTAATAATATTTTATTGGAAAAGTATTTGTAATATTTTTATAGTTTTAACATAGTAAATGTATTTTTTCAATAAAAACTTATTATTTTGAAAGTTTACACTAAGCATTTATCAAAACCCATAAAATAAACGAGAACTTAGAACGAGCTGAACGAATAAACTCTAAAAAATTAAACAACATGAGACCAAACAAAGACGATAGCTGACCACAACAGAGCAAAGAGCAAAACTAAGCAAAAACCAGTGTCTTTATTCTCCCACCAGCCTCCGCAACCCCAACACATGAAAACTAAGCAAAAGGACTTTATGATAACTCAGTATATTATCTCTGTCCCATTCACTCTCAAACGTCAATACAAAATAGTAATAGGGAAATGTGAGAGCTTACTCGAATGTTCCGTGGGAAGAGAATAAACAAAGCAAAGTTTCTTCGGTTTGTTGCGATACTTCTCAAAGCACGAGGGAGACGAGTGGAGTTCTAAGAATCGGAGACTGGGTTTGGGAGAATAGTTAGGTAATTAAAGATTACAGTTTATATAAGCCAATTAAAGATTTTTTTATTATTATTACAAGCAAATTAAAGATTGATTAGCTCGTTAATTAATGGTAAATGTGCAAAGCAAAATCATAAAAATTTTTCTTAAATAAAGGTACGGTTTTTCTGACGAGTCAATGAGTTGAAAATATAATTTTTTTAATTAAAAAATAAAAATATTTTTTATCATATTTAATATATTTTTATGATAATTTAATATATTTAATAAAATATTTTGAATGTATTTTAGCACGTGTCTTTAAGCACACATTAAAAAATTATAAAAGAATAATAATTTATTTGAAGTTTTTTCTAACAATTTTATTGCACAATATTTTATATTTGAGTGAATAATTGAATTATAATATTTATTTAAATAAATTATAAAAAATTAATTTAATAAATTATAAAAAAATAATGAACTTAAAAATAACTTATATATAAATTATTTGAAACGCCACCTACGCCTATATTAACTAAGCCCGGCATAAATAATAAGTTGGATTGTCTACAAGTACTCGTGGGCCGATTGAATTGCCATATCCAAAATTATCCTAACTCGTACAACTTAACAATTTGTTTGGTATATGTGAATTAGAAGAGAAAAAAAAAAAAAGTGAAAATGGGGGAATTTTCTTATTTGTAAAGAGATAAACAAGTGAGAAAGAGTCACCTCTTTTCTTCTTGCCTCGTGTCTCATATGAAGAGAAAGGGCTATAGAGAAATAATTTTTACACATCTTTCTCGAAATACCCTTTATTTATACATAGCTCCTTATTACAAAATAAGATGTAATTCTCTATTTAATATAATTTTTTCTCTTTACTTTCTTTTATACTTTTCTCATACCAAATACTTTTTACACCTATCTTTTTCTCATTATTTTTTTTTACTTACTTTTTTCCTATTTTCTTTGTCAAACCAAACAACATAGTCGATTCCATAATATTTACGAGTGGTCTAAGTTGAGAGGCATGACATGACAAAGTGCGACTACGACTCAGCAATATCACTTGGAATAATGGATATTTTCAAGTCTTATAATTCTATCACACAGCAGAGAATCACAAGAAAGATTCATTATTTATCAGGAGACATGCTTATTCAAATTAGATACATCAGACATGAAATATAAAGACACTGACTCGCACATGAAATTTAAACTCTGGAACATTAATTTCCATACCCTTCTGTTTAAATATTTATTTATTTGTAGTAAGATGATTCTGTTGTGAATCAATGGAGATCGACTTAGTCTCCTTTAATTAGAATATTATCTAATTAGAAGCATACCTCTAACCTAACTCACTTTATATATTATTTTAACTAATTAATTAATTCCCTGTAGTGATATAGCTCAAAGTTCATCAAATCATAGAGGGTACATTTTCTTCACAATATAGGTGAATCACTAATTAGATTGTAAGTATTCTTATAGATATCTCTGTAAACATTGCAGTGCGAGGCAACAAATCACGTTTCAGGGGATCTACATGCATGGTTGCATGCCACTCTTCACTTATAGCAAAGTGGAAAATGGAAAGAAGATGCGAGTAGAAAACAAGAGAATGAAAGGAATTAGCTTGTCAGATCAGGTGATTACGTCTACAGCTAGCTTCTGAGTTTATCAGATATATAGGAGAGGCATATATGGACAACATGATGAAGGCATAACCCCTCTTCCCTCAATTAACTTTGTATCAATATGATTTCTCTTCAAACCTAAAACTGTGTTTACTCATCAAAGATAAATATTATTACACAATAATATGTCAAACAGAATATAAATATGTGAATTTATGATTACTATTCATTGATTTAATGGTTGGATATATTATTTGAATTTTTATGTTAAATTTTGTAAAAATTAAACTAAAATTAGAAGCTAATTAAATGATTTTTTTTTATATTTTAAATTTATACATTGTGTTAATTTTGATATATGTGAATGAAATATTACAGAAGTTTAATTAATCCAAAATATTGTGAATCTAATTTATATGATAGATTTTTAAAAAGAAAATTCAATAATCGATTTTAGGATATAATTATTCAATATATTTCACTTTTACAGATCAATTAACAATTTTTGGTACTATTTACTGCTATATGTTTTTGGGCATAAAATTCTTTGCTTCTATGTTGTTGTTACTTGAACCTTGGTGTGAGTGTTGGGGCATAATTTTTTATCTTTGTTGATGATCTTGCTTCTTGAATTTTCTGGAAAGGAAAGTGTATTAGTAACAGACACTAATGAAAAGAAATGAGAATCATATAGTATTGGTTGATTATCTTATACAAGTAATAAAATAACAATTAATTTAATCTTATCCCATAATAATATAATCCGTTATTGAGGATCTCTAGAAAATCTTATGGATTATATAGTCACAGCACATGATGTTGAACATTTCTTTCCAGCCTTGGATTTTTGTGTTAAAAAAACACAGGGAAGGGAAAACGATTATTTTGATATGGATTAATTAGTTCCTCTTCAGAGATGGAGATCTAGATCTCGCTTAATTTCATAGTGTTCTGATGCTTGGTGATTATTATAGAAAGTATATATAGTTTAGTGTTGTCAATACGGATTTATTAAGCCGGTAATGATTGGCTGAGAAAATGATCAGTTATCTAATAAAGACAAAGACAATGCAATCAGAAAATATTAAAATAAAAACATGGTTGGCTATATAGACATGAAAAATGTGGTTGTGATGTTACCTCTACAACACCAAACTCATAATATGTTTTAGTTTTGAAGTTTTCCATGAACTTATAGATGTGGTCAACAATAAATCTATCACTATTCAAACTAGCATCATACACCTTACAAGAATATATGGTATAGCTTGATATATTCTTGGATATTTGAGGTTTAAGTTGACGCTTCAAGTACGCGCACGAACATCATGATGCTCTTCTTTTCAAGCTTATTTGCATGCATACATGAACGATATAGCTATGGAGATCAGTTTGAGCTGAAATGCCACATCTTTCTCTTTGATCCATTTATCAAATATGTTCCTTTTCGTGCGTTAATTAAAATTGCTGGTATGGTACTTAAGTTGATGAAGCACGGTTATTGTTTTCTTAAAAAAAAGGTATAAAATCAATTCACTTGTTCAACTAATATAAGTTGTTTCTGTAAGCAATTTAACCAAAATTAATGTTTGATGCAGTAGTAATTTAAGCTTTATTTAATATTTTGAGTTTTTAGTTTTGATCTCTTTTGCTAACATGACAAATTAAGAAATTGCTATGTATTAATCTTTTTATAAGATCATGTCAGTAAGAAATTCCAAAATAAAAAATTATAAAAATATGAAAACAATAATAAAAACTCAAACAATATGTACGTGGTAACTCAATCACTTGTCTTATACTTAATAACTTAAACTTGTATGATAATTAATTATACATTTTTATGGATAATATTTGTCTCGCAACTTCTTCATGGAGGAAAAAGTATAAAAAAGAAAAATATAAAAAAAGAGAAAAAGAGAGAAAATAAAATATATACTAAATTATGTTAAGAAAAAGAAAGATAAAAGAGATGTAAGAAAATGTTAGTAAAAAGGGTTGAAAGGAAGTCAAATATCCCTTATTATTTATATTTCAAGTCCAAAAAACGTTAGGATATTTAATATAGAAAACATTGCACATTAATATCTCGCAGCAGCTACATGCAATGGCCAGGCCAGTTTTTCAATGCAGTAATGAATAATGGAGTTTTCTGCAGCTTATTGATGACCAAATTTTGATGGCTGTAGTTGCAATCCAGAGGGACCTTTATCCTCTGTTAAGATGGCAGCTAGATCATCATTAGGTGAACTAGATTACGTGCTTCATATATAAATAAAAGTGTGTGCGTCACTATGTGTATATTCTTTTTAATATAAATTTAGTGTATATTGTTTTTAGCCAAAGTATATTTTTATATATAATAAAACTGTTTTTCTTTAATATTTAATATTGGTCAAATTTTCATAAATGTAAGTAGTATAATATAAATATATTTTTATATTCACATAGTTAATGACTCCTTTTTATAAGTATTTTTTTATTTGGTATTTATTCGAGCTACGGTTTCTTTTACAGAAGATACAAATTTGGTTTTTGTAAAAAATAATTGAAACAACAGAAATATATTATAAAATTATTGGAGTATGAAACGGAAAAGGGTGAGAGTTAAAGTCAACCTGGAAAACCAGTAAGATTAATGTGAAGCGAAAGCAAAAGAGAGTGATAAGGGAAGACCCGTTTATAAGGTAAACGGTGATGTTAGTGTGATGTGTCTTCAAGTGTTGTGCATGCATTTTTCGCACCTCTGTGTGTTTATGTTACAGTGCTTTGCATGCACTTTCTCTCTCTATGCTCACACCTTCCTCACTCTATTCTTTCTTCTCTAGTTCCAAAACCAAACGTTAATTAACGTCTCGATTCACTCGCTGGTAATGTGAATGGTTGTTGCAGCACACAGATAGCGCCACAGAGTTGTTTTTCTTGTTTCTTTTCGTTCTGTTTTGTTGTTGTTGTCACCGTGAATTTTGAAATTTGTGCGTCGGCGACGATCTAATCTTTTGTGTTCTGTGTTTGATTTTTAGGGTTTTGACTTTGCTGTGGAAGGGATTGATTTTCGTTTTGGGTTGTGTGTTAATGGGGATTGAAGTTTGCATGAACGGTTCGTGCAAGAATGGCTCTGCCAGTGAATGGAAGAAGGGGTGGCCACTGCGATCGGGTGGATTCGCTAGGCTATGCAATAAATGCGGGTAAGTTTTGATTCCTTTCCCTCTTTTCTTGTGTTGCAATTCCATCAATTTTCCATCGTTTGGGGTGATTTCAGAATATCATGTAATTTTGGGTTTTAATTTGATTTTTCTTTTTCTATTATGGATAATTTTGGGCTTTGACACGAGTCTTATGAGTTCAAGTTGGATTAGTAAGGTTCAACGTTTTTTCTTTTCCGAGATTTTCTGGTTTTGTGAGTGTCACTGATATATACAGAAACTAGTTGTCTTCTAATAACAGTAATTGCATAGTTCAAGAACAATTGTAGTTCTTACTTCATTAATGTAAACAAAGGAGCTAGTGAGCTACTGCTCTCTATTGTTAGTCAAACTTGATTCTTCGTTTTTCTTTTCTTTTTTAAAAACAATTTACACTTAACAGATTAAAGCGTGAGATACTATGTACACAAGTGTAATCGGAATGTCTTTGTATGTTACTTTCTGTGTACCTTTTAACGGTTAATGGTTCTTACAGTTTGATATTCCTAATTTGTTGAAGTTATTTGGCTTTGTTAAATTCTACCTAGCTTGTTTATCTACTAAGTTAGATTCAGCTCCTATAAAGAGCATGCAGCAGTTAAGAGGGTACAACGAAGTGGTAACAGATGATGAGAAAATCAAGACATTGACTTCTCACATATCCATTTATCAATTGCTTCATTTACTCTCCAGAGTGCACTTAGAGTTTAGAGTATCTTTTTCCTCTATAGTTCTTTACAAATGAAAAATAGGTTTGGTTTTTGTTGTCAAGTAACTCAAGTTGTCTCTAGGACATGAAATGTTAATCTACCTTTGCTCTTCTCTTCCCTATTTTAAATCTTGCATTGCTTTATTTGCTAGTAATAATTGATTTATTGGTTCTATTCTCACTTGGTAATACTGAATGTGTCACTCTGTGTGCTTTAGATCTGCTTATGAGAATTCAATTTTCTGTTACAAGTTCCACGATCACCAGACTGGTTGGAGGGAGTGCAGCTATTGCAACAAGGTAAAATGATAGCATGCATTTTTTTTTTTCTCTGTTTAAATTATATTCTAGCCTTGTCTTTCTCTCCTTAGACATTGAAGTCTATTGTTTGACTTGGTTTGCAGCCTATCCACTGTGGATGCATAATATCAAGGTCTTTGTTTGAATACCTTGATTTTGGCGGTATAGGTTGTCTTACCTGTGTAAAGGCTTCCCAACTTCCTTTGGTAAGGCTAATTTGAATATTCATTTTAGAGGAATGATTTCCAAGCCTAAAGTTTATTTCCTTATTAATGGTTGCTCTCTAGTTATATTTTAGTTTATCTCATATTGTTGCAAAATTGCAGTTCTAGAATTGCGCTTTTGCACATGGATGTATAAATTTTCATAAAAGTTATTCAGAAGAGTGATCACAAGTATTATAATATTATTGTTGAAATCATAGGGATCGGGGAAATGAGAAAATAGAAAATGTCACTAATAGCTTTCAAATGATTGTGATTATGTGTTATATAACAGAAATTGTAATGCCTGTTGATTCTAATTTCTGTGACCAAGTACCAGTGAAGTACAAATTTGGACATTTCCTACTAAAAGAAGACAAATGTAATGCCAATTATATACTCGGAAGACTAAACTCTACATTTATTAAAATTTGCTCCCTCGCTAGTTATTTATATGTCACTGCTTTTGTCATGTAGTTCTTTTTCTAATTAATAATTAAGTTTAGCAAATTGTTTCTGTTTGCTTGATGGTTCTTGTTAGTCATTCTGTGTCCTGTTACTGCAGTTATTTCACCATGTACTTGGTTTTTTGTACATTGTTAGCAGTAATTTTGATCAGGCTCCACTTATTATTTAATGTTATGCTACAGATACAGGATACTGAAAATACTAACAGGTCTGTTAGATCAATAAAAAATAATGCAAGTGATCGAAATGCTGAACGTATTGATGGTAGACTATTGGTGGATGGTGCTGGCGAAGGAAAACTTATGCAATTGTGTAGAATTGCTGAAGCAAGTGAATCCAGCCATTGGTCTCGACCTCAGAGAGATGGCGTAGATTCATGTATTGGTCCAACCAGGCAAGAGGATAGAAGATTTTCAAATGTGATGAAAGTCTCTAGTCATCCATTAGCGTTTACATCATTAGAAAATAATAAACCAACATGGGAGACTAAAAGTATGCATGAATCACTCTCACTGAATATTTCTCTGGGAACCTCATCAGGGAATTGTGACCGACCTTCTGCTTCAGAGATTGTAGAAGGGAGAATTCAGGGTAAAGCATCTTCTTCTCCCCTTCATCAAGGGCAGGGATCTCAATCCGTATTGTCTAAATCATCAAAGAGTGAGATAACTGCGATTCTTGAACCAAATAAAGGCATTATTTCTCAGGAACGCATTGCCCGGCCACCTGCTGATGGAAAAGGCAAGAATCTGTTACTTTCTCGATACTGGCCCAGGATTACTGATCAAGAGCTGGAGCAATTATCGGGGGAGTATCCTTTGTATTTATTACTTTGGTCTACTACATATCTACATTAAACTTTGATATAAAGTTATGTCATCACCTGTTTCCCTTAATGTTATTATCACAGTTTGAAGTCTACTATAGTGCCATTATTTGAGAAGGTATTGAGTGCTAGTGATGCAGGTCGAATTGGTCGTCTTGTTCTCCCAAAATCCTGTGCTGAGGTATGGTTTTATTGGTTTGATCTTTTTCTCTATCTACTTGTGCATATTTGACTCTGTTTATCCTGTTCTTCTGTTTTTTTTATTAAAGAAATATATTGTCACCCTGTAAATGCAGCACATCTTACAATTTGGCGTGTAAATTTCAGGCTTATTTTCCTCCTATTTCACAGTCAGAAGGTATTCCATTGCAGATCCAAGATGTGAAGGGGAATGAGTGGACATTTCAGTTCAGATTTTGGCCTAACAACAATAGCAGGATGTATGTATTGGAGGGCGTAACCCCCTGCATACAGTCGTTACAATTAAATGCTGGCGATACTGGTATACATTAATCTAGGCAATGAATTTATGCACAAACACAAACCTATTTCATTGCCATTTTATACCTGATTGAAATTCATTTGGTATTATGATTTTTGTCAAAATGTTATCAAAAGTGCATCTGCTTTCATGGTAATAATTTGTTTTATATTTTCTTTAATTGCTGCCATTCCCAAATCTGTTCTAATTTTTTCAGGAGAAATATCATGGCTTTATAGAATTGTCTCCTTGTACAGTATTTGTTGTGTACTATGTAGTGTTTTAAGTATAGATATACATGGGGCAACTCATATGTCTTGCAAATTTCAAGATACCATTGATTAGTATGGTTTTTTTGTTGCAGTGACATTTAGTCGAATAGATCCTGGGGGAAAATTTATTATGGGTTTCAGAAGGGCATCCAATTTGATAGATACACAGGTAGTGACTGATTTTCCACTTTACTATATGTTGCCTCTTTAGATAATACATCTATATTCTTCTCTTCTTTTGGTGAAATAAACGGTCACTATTGATACAGGATGCCTCTATTTCTTCTCATTCTAATGGCATTTCAACAAAGGAAACAACCTTTTCTGGTGCAACTAAAATTCTGCCCTCAGGATGTAGTTTTCCTGATCTTCTCCAGTCAGGGAAGGGGAATGGCGAATTTTACATAAATGGACATCCAGAACATCTGCATTTGGGTACTCGAACTGCTGATTCACTTCAAACTGAAAATTGTGAGATGGATAACAATAATTTGTTGCAGCAACCAATTTCGGTTTCTGAGAAGAAAACGCGAAATATTGGACCTAAGAGTAAGAGGTTACTCATACATAATGAAGATGCTGTGGAGTTGAGACTTACATGGGAAGAAGCACAGGACTTGCTTCGTCCACCACCTACTGTCAAGCCAAGCATTGTAACAATTGAGGACCAAGTATTTGAAGAATATGATGTAAGTGTGACACTGTCAATGCAGTAAATCATTTTGTTGTATGAGTTTGCTTTTTCAAGGTGAATATGAACTGATATAGTGTGGACTTTGGAGCACTATATTCAAATTTCTGTTAGCTGGCTAATCTTTGTGACTTCATTTACTTTAGGAGCCCCCGGTTTTTGGAAAGAGAACTATTTTCAATGTCCAGTCATCTGGGTAAGATTAAATACGTTACATATTTACATTGTATTTGATTCAGTAAAAAGTCTTGATTGGGTACAAGCAGTTTTATATTTTCTTTGTTGCTAGATCTTGTCTACAAGTTTGTTCAAACAGATGATGACAATGTTGGTACTTTTCTGGACCAATGTGCTTTATGCATTGATATTCCAGTTTGTGTGTAATTAAAATTCCAAATCACTGTTTTAGCTGTCAATCACAGTGCAATCTCAAAAAAGCTTTTGTCCTTAATAATCACTGCTTCAGCTGTATGAGACATGAACTATTATCCTTAAATTACTAGCTTTCATTTATTTTTCCTTGGAACTCTTTGGTAATTGATGTAATCAGGCGCCAAACTATTTTTTTAGTTGTTGAATGAAACTCAATTTGAATTTTCTTTGTTCATAGACAAGTTTAGTTTATAGGATAAATACAGCAACCTGTTAAGTTGCTAATGCAATAATTTGGCATGGTAATTGGTAGATTAATTTCTGCTTCCTGTCTATATTATTAAATTATATATGACTATCAATAATAGGAAGAAGAAAGAAGCATATGTGAGTTAGCAAGAGTTAGTCTCTCAAGAATCGAGATCAGGAAGGATGATTCATAATGGAGATTAGGATTGGTTACCTTCTCGTTTTAAAACTAAAGCATAGATCAAAATATTATGTAGAATGTGGCTTTTGTGTCTTGAAGAAATTCTACAATTTTCCTTCTGACAGAAACAGGAACGGATTTCTAAATTTTTTCTTAGGAGACCATGGGACAAAGATGACCTGTTATGATATGGAGGGTAGTTTTGTTCTTTCTGATGAAGAGAAAGTGTAAACATAATTCCATCACTTGGTTTTCATATGACAGCATTTCTTTTTCTGTTCAGTTCCATGGTTTGTTTTTAGACCTTGTCTTGATAAGAGACTTGAGAGTGAATACATGGTCATCAGTTATTATTATGGACAACGGTTTTTCAGGTCTTTACACGCTGCAGGCGAGGAGACGAGTCCAAAGGAAATGGACAATATTCTGAGAACTAGCGAAGGTGTGATTCTGCTATCTCTTTTTTTAATATACGCTCTGCACTTGTTGTGTTCGTCACAACAGGTTTGATAGTTCAGTACAAGCAATTGAATGTTCAAGATGTAGGATGCATTTATGCAATTTCTTACATTCCTAGACTTTATCAGAATGTGTGCATCGATATATCTGTTAAATTTAATGTTCACTATTTATATTCAGATTTGCATTCTAGTTGTCTTTGATAATTAGTAGCTTGATTAATCTGGCTGCATATGATCTACCCCAGATTTTAAAAAGCGAAGAATTGTAGAAAAAAGTGCATCAATCCAAGAACACAATCCTTCTGGCTTAGACGCTCTTGCCAGTGCAGCAGTTTTGGGCGATGATCATGTTGACCCTCCTGAGCCATCTGCTGGAGTCACTACCAAACATCCAAGACACCGTCCTGGATGCTCTTGTATTGTTTGCATTCAGCCCCCAAGTGGAAAAGGGAAACATAAACCAACATGCACATGCCTTGCCTGCATGACTGTGAAGCGCCGGTTCAACACCCTGATGACGCGTAAAAGAAAACGGCAATTAGAATGCGAAGCAGATGCTACCCCAGAAGATCATATTCATCACAGGGATGAGACAGATACCAATGGTGCATCAAGAGATGATACAAGTGTGTTGGAGAAAGAGGTAAGCCTGAACAGAGGTGGTGTGGAGGTGGATGAGCCCAGTGCAGGACAAATAGATCTGAATTGTCATCCCAATCATGGAAAGATGCAAGTGGATATAACAGCAGGATTGAGCATGACTAGTCATGTTGAAACAACCAACTTTCCTGCACGCGAATATATGAGTCAAAATGGCCTGAAACTTTGATTCTGAACTGCAGTTTAGATCACAGTCTTCTTTACTTAATCTTCTGTTCGGAAGGTGGAAAAAGAGATGAGTCATAGTGTCAACCCAATCACAGTCAGAACAATATTTGTTAATTTTATTTATTGTGTTTCTCCTTCCGCAAACACTACATAGTTTACTTTCCTTTTCTAAAGGGTGGTAAAAGATAGTTCTATTCTTACAATCAAGACTAAAATGTTATTCTCCTTTGTCTTTGAAGTTTTTACTTTTTCATGAAAATGAGTTTGACGTTGAGGGTGCATCGGAAATTACGGGAAAATTTATACTGTTATATTTTTTACAAAAAAATAATTTTAATTTTTTAGCTAGGACTTTATATTTTTATTATTTATCATCTAAAGGAATTCATAAATATAAAACCAGATTTTTATGTAAATATTAATGCCGTAAGCCCATCCACTCTCTCTCCTCATTTGTTGTTGTAACTTTTTCCATTAGTAGTTTATGAACATTAGAATCTTTCTAAAATCATCTTCAAAACATACATCGAAGTTTCTAGACTAGCTTGTTTTAAAATTTAGTTTTTAGAAAATATAATCCATTTTTATTAAAATAACTGAACGATTCGTATCTTTCTTACAATAAAATAAGCTTTTGATCTTTAAATTAGTTAGATAATCACTTGTGGATTTATGTTATAGTTACACAGTATATAAAGATTTTTTTCACTAAAGTTCATTTATTAGAAGGTAAATTTGATACATCATAAGATTCTTTGATAAAAAAAAAATCATTTTGCGTATTAGCCTTTTTTTTATCTTACTTCTTTTTATAATCATTATGGAGTTCAAATGGAAACTTAAAAGATTATCAGAACGTTTTTTAATATATAGAGTTATAATTTAACCTTCTTGTAAAAGTATTTATTCATTTTAGTTAGTATCGGAGTACAACTTTCTTAAAATGAATATACATATATATATATATATATATATAATAAATGATTTAAGTGAAAATACTTTTAAGAATGATAATGATAAATATAAAATGTTAATTAAATAGTTAATATTTAATTATGACTAATCACGTATGATTATGTAATCCACATATATTATTTTCAGAATTTTAAAATAAAATTTATTCTCACTAAATATTACGTACGTGCATGCATGCATATATATTGAAAAAGGAGAAAGGGACATAAAATAAAATTACAATTGCTGTTCTTTACTTAGTTCGTACTAAATAATATTAAAATTATGTTTCATATTACTATGCTAAGAAATGAGTAAATAAGTAATCAAATTTATTCGAGGACCCATTTGACATACAAACACGAGAAGAACAACATGAATACATATACACAGAAGATTAAACAATGAATGAATGGTCCAAATTGCAAACATTAATTAAAACTGAACTGGACCAGGGAATTTGATTAATTGAAGTAAGAATCAGTCAGGTAAATGGTTTGGACAACTAAAAAAATTAGTCAAATTCAATTTTAAAATCTTTGGTTTATAATTGTACAGGGGAGAAGCTTATCTGGATATGTGGTGGTCTTGTGGTCAGCAAGCTAAGTGGAATATCACAGACTTCACCGATATCATCAGTGGAGGGTCGGTTTCGAGAGAATAAAATAATGTTGGTTCAAATTGAGTACTTCTGTTACTCCTTGCCATGAATAAAGTTTATTTTGCCTATCAATATCCACTTAATATTTTATAAAAATATTAAATAAAAAGTAAATACCTCCAAATTTTAAAATATAAAATTAACTATTTTTAATTCAATATTCAAGGTGCAAGCATTTCGACAGGCTAAGCAAAAGAAAAGAGGTAGCTTCGGCCTTCGGGTGAATCTTAAACCTCCCACATCAACTTCTAAAATTTAAATATTTTATAGTAGACAGCCAGCCCTAGTTTTGAATCTTTCAAGCGATTTATTCGATATATCTCTTAGAAATGGGCTACAACCAACAGGGAAACTTCGAATCTAGTGTACTAACACCCAGACGTAATCTTCGACCGGCCTCAAAACACGCAATCTTGGCCACATGTGGTCGTCTTTATTTCCTATTAGACCGAATTAACATACCCAATTAACCTTTGTCCCTTTGTTCACCCTTTGCTTAAATTTCCTATCATATAGCTTATAGCTAGGCTCATATATAGCTATACCCTTATCTCATCTTATACTTAACTTAGAAGTGCTCTAATATGGGTGATCACATGAACAAGGCCATGCAAGCAAAGCCAATATTACAAACTCTCGAAGATTTGTACCAAGGAATCCCAGATGAATCCGTTAACCTCACCTTTCAAGACCTAGCTGAAGTGAACACATTAGAGAAGAGAAAACCCACAACAACAATAACATCACCATCACGCTCTCTAGCCAAAATACCAAGTCTTGATTTCACCAAAGGCTTGCAAGCATCTGGTCAACACCACCAACAGCAAGACTTTGGCTTTGGAGGTTCCCATCATGGTGACTCACCATGGAGGCATTCTGGTCATTTTAGCCATGCAAGTGTTGGTGCACAAAGTCCTCAATTTATGGCCAGTAGAGATGATCATCATTTGGGGTATAGCATGAGCTGTGATGATATGAGTGAGGCTTCGGGAAGAGGTGTTCGACGACGTCGTCCCGGGATTCCTCACTCTAAGATTTGTGCAATTTGTGACACCTACATTTATATCTTCCGAACTAGATGCCTGGTACGACTTATATACATTAAATGTTAAGTAGATATATTATTTACCGCTAGTGTCTGGCTTGTATAAACAAAATAAAATGAAACATACTATCGTGTTTCTTTCTTCTTCATTTCACCCTTTTTAGTGGGGTTAAAATGTGTATCTTTTAATCTCATATTCTATATTATTCTGTTTTTAAAACTTACTAAATATAAAATAAAACACTACCACTATTATTTGGAGAAAGTGGAAGATTTTTGTTTTCAAATAAAATGGTAATTTGGTGTGTTACTAGCATGCGTTGTTTAAGTGATGTCTTTTTTTAATTACACAATAGAAAATGTACAATATATCAATGCATGGGACTATGTCATCGCTAGCTAATAACTTAGTTTAGATATGAAAAAGAAGAACATAGTTTAGATATCAATTAGCTGGATATAGTTGCGTAATTCAAATCTATGGCTTATAATGATTGTGGTGCACGCAGGTGTGCGGCAGGGTTTATTGCAGGCGATGTGTGGAAATAGGGATGGGAGAGATGATAGAAGGAAGGAAATGTATTGAGTGCCTTGGATTGAGATTCAGCCAAAGGTAACCATTTTTCCAGTGTTTTAAAACAAAAAATAAAAGGTTGCTAATGTCTAAACTAATTATAAATATATTTTAATTTAATAACTCTAGCGCAAGCTGTTTGACTCGTTCTCCTGATCTCCTCACACAATTAGTTAGTCACAAGGCAATTCATTACTATATTTTAATTAAGAGGCTTTTTTGACCTGTGCAAAGAGGTGGACATAATAAATAATAATAATTTGTTTAAAAAATAGAACATTTAACACTATTAATGCATTAAATTACATTGATTTATATAATTTTAATAAAATTTAATTATATATAAATATTTATCATATACTTTTTCACAAGTTAAAAAAAAAAACATATTTTAAGTACCCTACGTTTTGTGAGGCATTTAGGCTTTTGTTTGCCGTGCCGTTATTTTGTCATCGTCTCAGCAAACAATAGTTCTGTAGTATACAACAAAGACGCACGGTCCTCACCAATCAAGAACCACATATAATGCTAAACTATTAACCCAGCTTTTCCTTTCAACGACCCTTTAATTATGATCAAATTATTAATTTAATTATCCACTTTAATTAATATATACGTGTGTAGACAGACACACATATACATACAACTTGGATGAAGTTACATCAGTGGTGCAGACTAAACACTTGTCAGTTACAAAAATACAAATACATGCATACGTATATAAAATAGTTAGCATCAAAATAATCTTAGAAGTTAGAAGATTTATTTTTGGTTAATTTGATCTGTGACATAGGTATATAGAAAGAGCAGGGAAGATAGGGTGCTGTGGTTGGAGGTATCCAAGAACATTGAAACAGGTTGAGCTAAAGTGTGCAGAGAAAGGACCAAGGAGGAACGGAAGGTATGGTCATAGGGGAATGGCAACCTCATCAAGATCAAGAAGTCCTATCACCCCAAGAAGTACTCATCCTATTGGTCCCAATGAACACTCTTTTGTTATGTCTTCATCCTTTTCTTCTTTCTCTCCCCATCACACCCTCCCTTTTTAAATGAATAATAATTTAATTGCAATTTAATATCCTAGTTAAATCAGTGCCACGTTAGTATTCTTTCATAATTTGTTGTGTTAAACTTTATTTTATGCTGTTTAATATAATCTGTTTATCAGGCTTAATTGAAAGCTCATATGATCATTGTCTAGCATTAATTTGTTACACCTTCTAGCGTTTCTATATGAGAAAGAAAATCTGATGAAATCGTGTAGATAAAAAATTGAAAGAACTTTATGATGTTCAATCTATATTATCAAAAGTCTAGCTACCTGCTAATCATTAATTAGCCCCGAAAATAAACGGTAATCTCTGATTAATAGATAAGCGGATCTCTCTCACAAAGAGATATATTTAACATAGTTCATAATTAAAAGAATTATAAAAATAATCTAAGATTATTTTATATAAATTTATTAGTTTTCTTAATAAAATTTATGATTAAACTTATGATATTAGCTCTCATGTAATAAAGATGCATTTAAATAATAGCTTAATTAAATATTATTTAATAAATTTTTATTACATAAAGACTTATGATATAAATTTGATCATAAAATTTATTAAAATATAAAATAAATAAGAATTTATAAAACAAATGTAAGTTGCTTTTATAATTTTTTTAAAAATATATTTCAAACGTGTCCAAAATTTATTTTATTGAAATTATATACACAAATCAATCCTAAAAATCGAACAAACGTCAGATACATCGTCCATCTATGTTTTAGATGGAGATACATTGAACAGCACCCTTGATTTTGACAAAACGGAAACAGATCCAAATCCAATAATTAAGGAATTGTTTTAACTAAACTATGTCTATTGTCAGTAGGTGCTACCATACTTGAGCACGTTTAGATTTGTACTGTGATTAATGTTCTCGTACTCAAAACCTCATCTTTATAGACTAAAAAAAATTTAGATTAATATAAGTTTGAGACGTGGTGGGTATATATTTATAATTAATGTTAAGCTTTTTCTATTATAATATTTTTTAATATTTTAATTTTTAAAATTTATTTCTTTAAAAGAATATTAAAAAGAGATATGAAAATAATAAAGATAAGAAAAAAATAGTTTATATATATATATATATATATATATATATATATATATATATATATAAAGAATAAATTCATTTACAGTGTAAAAGACTTGTACCAAATCTTAACGGTACAAGTTAAATAATTTAAGTTAAATAATCTAATGATTGAAAAGTTATTTGTTGTTTAATTGATGTTAATAGATTTTATTTATATATATATATATATTAATATTTTTTAAATTTTTTTAATTAATCATACGTTGTTAGTTACTTTTATTAATTTGAGATTAAATATAGTTTATATTTACAAAATCACGTAATTTGAATAGTTATGTCATATTTACAACAATCTTTTTTTTTCTTCTTCAGCCATTCATTTATTTTTTCATTAGACCTTCAAAGCTTCTAGTAACTCAACGTAGAGGTTGTCTTTCTTATTTCTATGACAGGATAGAATATCAAATAACAATGATTTTGTTCATCCATTTTCTCTTAATATGCTCTTTTGTAGATATACCCTAAATTCTACACATTTTATTTTGTTTGACTCGTCTAGACTTCTCGTGCTAATCTTCAATATTTGAGTGAATCCAATAAAAATCATCATCACCAACTCAATAGCTTTAAAAGAAATAGATTTCTTTCTATTGAAACACTTTTTGATATTGCACTTGTCATTATTCAATACTTCAAGTTTGTCTTTATTAAAAAAACACTTATCAATTAGACAATTCAAAATTCTATTAATTAAAAAATAATTCTTTTACACAATTATATAAATAAATATTGTAGAAAATATTAAATATTATTTTAAAATTTTCAAATTAAATTTTAATTATATATTCATCCATCTTCGATCAATTTGACCAGCCCCTTCAAACTTTCTTTGGAACATGTTCATGATAGCACCCCTCAAGTTTGATGCATGGAGTTGGAGAGAATTAAGAAATTGTAAGCTGCATTTTATACATTTACATTTTTTGTCTCTGAATTGTCTCCATGGCATCTCTAGTGTTATGCAAGACTGCCATTGCAACTACCCAGTGGCATTTACTAAAAGCACCTTTTTATTATTTCCAAACATCAATAGAGACCGTATAGTATTAGATGAAATTTACGATTAAAAAATTTAAATTATATTAAAATTATCTATAAACTAATGTATAGGAATTAAAAGTATAATTAAACAAAAAAAATTAAAATTATATATAATAGAGTAAATTACATTCTTTCTCTTAAAATATGTAAATATTATACTGTCATCCCTTTTATTTTGAATTATATAACTTTTTTCTTAATTAAATTATATTACAATTTAATTTTTAATTTTTTTTTTGTTGAAACACGGTTAATATCTATTTGACAAATTTTTTTACTAACATACTCTTTCTTTAATAAAGTTTAGACTTTCTTTTTATTACTTTTTTTAGAAGATCAACGAGCTCAATGTTTTAAGGACTTGTCTCGTATCAAATATTTTTACATTAAATGCAAAATGTATAAAATATAAAAAACTTGAAACCTTAATACAATAAAAAAAAAAGGTAAACTACAAAAAGATTTAAAAAATTAAGGTATATAAATAAAAACTAAACTATGGATAAAATAACAAATAAATTAAAATTTGAACAATGCTTTAATAAAACTTAAATAAATTAAAATCTGATGTATTTTAATATTTTTGACGAAGTTGTATAAATTTAAAATTAAAAAAATAGAATACTATATTCATTTTCTAAGAAAAAAGAGTAATTTTTTATAAAAACATAATGAATCCCTTTAAAAATTATCTTTCACTCAAAAGAAATACAAAAGCACTTGTTTTACTAATTGGAGTTCAACTTTTCATTTAAAATTAAAATAGTTCTTGACGCTTCAATTTTAAAACTAAAAAATGGAAGAAAAAAAAAGTATTTTAAATACTTTCTTATTTTTAGGCAAAACACTGGATTAATGATTTTTTTTTTTTCAAGTTCTACGATAAACTCAACTCTAATGTTTCTTCTTCCTGCAATTGTAACAAAGAGATAAACAAATGTTTTAGTCATCCCAACACTTCCTTATGTCACTCAGTACTAACTCTCTTCGAAGGTTCTGAGTCAACATGCTCCGACAAGTTTTGAACAGATTGCATTATATCTTATGTTCTATTTAAAATGTTACAAAATATTTATTTTTATTTTTAATTATGTCAACTGAAAATGAATACCAATAAGTTTATAAATAATTTATAAAAAATTAGTTTAAATAATTAATAACATTTAAAATTTTTAAATTAAAATATTTATGTAAGAATAAAAAAATTGTGGTAGTTAAAATTTTAGAAATTATGATTAAAAGGTAAAAACTTATTTTCAACTAATTTTACTTGTATATTTATTTTTGATAATTAATTAATTTAAATATAAAACTAACTATTCTAAATAAATTTGTTTTTATTTTTATAATTATATTGCAAAACTGATTATTTTAAATAGTTTAAAAAATCAATGATCTTAAAATTACTTTATACCCAACATTTTTAAACATAAAATTGATTTTAGACAAACGCTCATTGAAAATTAAAATGTAATAAATGTCGTTTTGATGCATACTAATTTTTAAGTTGAAGTTTTGTATTGATTGATTTTTAAGCAAAAGTTACTTTGTTTTAAAATTTTGTATATAAACTATTTTAAATAGAAAACAAATTAGTAATACTCAATTCACACTTGCTTCAACTTCTTCACCTGCACACTTAAATATAGCAAAAGAAAACCCTTCCCAAGGTCAAAACACCAAATTGTACAGTGTATAGTGACATATCACTGGACCTTTTCAACCGAGTCACATGATCGTGCATGTGGTGCTACATGGTGTTTGAAAATGATGTACATAAATCCATAAATAAAAAATACTATATGATAGGAAATAACAACGAATTAAATAACATTTGAGTCCTCAACAAGATATACTATGATACATATAAAAACATATTTTTTAAATTCACATTGCTTTCATTTCCACAAGGCGGGGATCACAAGGAGATTTATAAAGTAGTAAAAACTAAAAATATTAAAAAATCATAACATTAAATATTTCTTATTGTTATTTTATTTTTATTACCAAAATTGTTAGAAGAAGAGAAAGAAGGAAGGAAAGAGAATGCATTTGTGTTGTGTTGTTGTGTGACAAAAACCGATACGAATTGTCAAGAGAGATGCAAGATCCGTCTTCAAACCCTAATGACAATCCAAATCCTCACAATGCCAATGCAGCTTCCCAATTACCACCAACGCCGCCGGCCACTACCGCCGCCGGCGTCTCCTCGTCCTCGTCTTCGATGTTCGCGCGCTCCGGCTGGTCTCACCACCGGAGAGCCCACTCGGAGGTGAGTTTCCGGCTGCCGGACGACATGATGGACTTGTCGCAGTCCGATCCGTTAGCCGGCGGGTCGTCGACGGCGAGCATGGAGGAGATCGGATCCGAAGACGACCTGTTCTCGACGTACATTGACGTGGACAAGCTCGGAGGTGCAACCGGTTCGGGTGGCGCCGGAAACGGAGCGGATCCGAACGGCGAACGCGAGAAGAGCCCGAGGCCGAGACATAGGCACAGTAGTTCCGTCGATGATTCTTCGTCGTTCGGCGAAATTATGGAAGCGAAGAAAGCTATGCCTCCTGATAAATTAGCTGAGTTATGGTCAATTGATCCCAAGCGTGCCAAAAGGTTCTCAATTTGGTTCACAAAATGCTTCATCTACACTAATTATAGTTTTGAACTGATTATGCTTCGATATTATGAGTAAATAAATTTAGTTAGCTTATGAAATTAAATAAAATTGAGGTTTGTTTTGTATGATTGTTAACCGGTTTCAATGTTTAACTTTCGCGATGTGATATTTTGATGATGTTTGCGTGAATTGATAATTTTTCATTTTTGAACGAATAGAGACCATTGAGAATATTTCTCGTGAGTGCGAAGTATTTGAATGATGGGAGAATGAGAGAGAGGTTTATTATGCAAAAGATGGTGCTCTCTAGTTTGATCAGTAATTGTTGTTTTATTATTCTCATAGTATTGTTTTTGTGGATAGAATAGTTGCGAATCGACAATCTGCTGCTCGATCGAAAGAGAGAAAGGCTCGGTATATACAAGAACTTGAGCGCAAGGTTCAAACTCTTCAGACTGAAGCCACAACTCTTTCTGCTCAATTGACATTATACCAGGTTTGTTGAGTTGACTTGTATATAAAATTATTACTTTTAGAGTTCGATTTTGTAGAGTAGCCCCTGTTTTTTGTAATTTACTGATGTAGCTTGGTGCGATGAATTCGAATGCATCATTACTTTTACCCCAGAAGTATCCTAAACTTGCTTGAACTAGGATTTTTAATATGTTACTCCAGTTTTATTCTATTTGTTGTGCATGATTTTATTATTTTATACAAAAATATGACATTTCGGATGCACTGTTTGTATTTCTCTTCTGGAATTTCTTCTATTTATACAGGAGTCTAAAATTTTCAGGAATTTTATAGAATCACTTGTAGTGTGATTCAAGGTAAATATAACGGTGCCATGTTTGTGAGGCTTCATCATAGTTGACTTCAGTTTTTATTCGTACACTACACAGACTTGTGGTTGAATAGGAGTATGACTCAATCACTTCTTGATTCATTTTACAGAGGGACACAACAGGCCTGAGTACTGAAAATACAGAGCTTAAGCTCCGTCTGCAGGCCATGGAGCAACAAGCACAGCTTCGTGATGGTAACCATTATCACTTTTATTCTATACCCAAAAAAAAAAAATATTTACTGCTTATTTATCAAAATATATTTTCAATGAGAACTTTTGGAAGAATGTTTTTAAGGTTAATAATCATACTGCAATTTGTTTGTGATCTGTTGCAGCTCTTAATGAAACATTGAAGAAGGAAGTTGAGAGGCTTAAGGTTGCTACTGGGGAGATGATGAGCCCCACTGAATCTTTTAATCTAGGAATGCACCAGATGCCATTTACAGGATCAAATTTTATGCCAATCCCACCACAATCAGGTCCTTCTGGTCACCAGAACATCCAGTTGTCACCATTTGGTCACTCCCCATCTACAATGCCAACTCATCAACTGCAACAAACCAATTCTTATCCATTTTCAGAAATATTGCGAAATGACCAGCTTGGTCGTTTCCAGGGCCTTGACATTAGTAGCAAAGGATCAACTCTCGTGAAATCCGAGGGCCCCTCACTTTCTGCAAGTGAGAGTAGCACTGCATTTTGAATTTGACACAAAACACTTGACCTGCTGACTTATCCATGGCATTCATTGTTCATAGTGTTGACATCTAGTCAACTAATGAAGGTACCTTATTCATGATTCAGATTGAGGATTAATTCTTAATTATTTATTCATAGAGATGCTCATCCAAAAAGGGAAGCATCGTTGGGTTTTGTTGCAAAGTTCACGTAATCATGTTTCAGCATGGCAAGTGTGGGCTGGAATATTGGGAATTAAAGGCCATTCTCATTGTATCTTTGTATGTCAGGATGTGCATGTAAACTGTGTGATTTATTGTTGTTTTCACTTCAGTGATAGTCCAAGTACAATGGACTTGGGTTCTTCTATAATTAACTACTTAGACTTAGATTTATTCATAGTCGTACAATCCAAAAGTTTTGGGTACTTGTATTAAGCTTCTATTGAGATCAGACCTTTTTGAATAACTGGCACGTCTTAGTTGCTCTCTTCAGATTTTAATAACTCTAATGATGGACGCATAAATTAAAATCTATATATTTGCCTTTTGATTGTACCAAGTTTGTTTATCCACCATAAAAATGAAGAATCGTATCAGTAATTATCTAAGCTTCTTAAGGCAATAGCACTGTTGAAACTCCTGAAAGACTTCGCCTTTGACTCCATGTATTAATTTTTTCGGCATGCCGGTGGCACTCCTTTTGTAAATTTTGGTGGAAGTTTTTAGATTAATATCTCTCTCTCCCGATAATGGATGATCTGATCTTATAATTGTTAATAATTTTCTGACCCGAAGTTCCCAACATGAAATGATGAATGGCATATTAGGTGATGTGGTGGTGTTTGGGGTAAGAAAAATTTTCTAAGTTAAAAATCATGTTAAAAGGAGCTACATTTTGACAAAATGTTGAGAATCAGGAAGGAGTCTAAAAAGGTCTAAAACTTGAGAAGTATTGGAAAGTTATTTAAGACATTTTTGTTTCATATCAAAAGGACACATCTCGATATATTTTAGAGGTTTTTGTCACCTCGTTGATGTTCCTCTAAAACTGCTTGAAAAATAAGACTGACAAAAAAATATTTTAAGTCCACAAAATTGAGGGCTTTTTCGAGGAGTTTTGAGGAGCTTTTAAGTCACTAACATCCAAAATTACTCGAAAAACGAGACTGACAAGAAAATATTCTAAGTCCACGAAACGGATGGCCTTTTTGAGGAGTTTTTGAGAAGTTTTTCAAGTCTCTGATACCCAGAAAAACTGCTCAAAAAACAGGAAGTGATCAGAAAATATTCTAAGTCCACAAACCTGGTTTAGCTCCAGATTCCCTCTAAAATTGCTCGAAAAACAGGAAGTGGTCAGAAAATATTTTAAGTCCGCCAACTTGGTTGAGCTCCAGAATCCCTCCAGAATTGCTTAAAAAACAGGAATGAACAAAGAAAATATTTTAAGTCCACGAGATCAAGACAAACTCTCAAAACTCCAGAATTAGTCGAAAAGAGAAGTGAATGAGAAATCACTTTAAGGTCATAATACTAAATGAGCCTCTTCGATTTCTCCCAGAAACACTCAAAAGATAGAGAAACAAAAGTCTTGATAGGTCAAGTCATTGCAAAATCCAAAAACTGTTACCAGCAGTCATCAACATTCATAACTACGCAAAGGAGATCGTGGACGATAGCGATTACGAAAGAAGCCCCAACCAACAACACTATCACAAGCAATCGTGGATGATGGGCATCAACAGTTGAAGGTAGTTACTAAGAAGTGTCGGCAAAAGGAGGAGAACGATGGTGGTCTTCTTGCCTATAAATACTTCAAAGCGCCATTTCATAGATGATGACTTTTTGCACCCTGACACCACATCTAAATTCTCTGAAACGCTGAAAACCTGTACCGCGTCAGACACTAGTTACGAGGAGACTCACGTGTGGTCGCTATTCGCTGTTGTGATGATTCGTACGTTTATATTCTCGCATATTTACATTCCTGCACATTTATCTTTCTACATTTTAATTCCAGTTTGTTGCTTATTTTCTTTCTGTAATTTAGTTTCTATTTAGCATATTTCTGTAAAAATATCTACTTCTAATTTGCTATTTCCATTTAATCTTTTACTTTATAACATCAATTCTACTATTATGTTAACAATACATTTAAAAAAATTTAAAAAAGACTTAATCCCGTCTTCTCTTCTTAGATTATTTATTTATAAATTTTTATTTTTCATCGTAAACAAGGCATAGCCGAGCACAACCATATATATTCATCAAAATCAAAGATGAAAAGCTGAGAGTGTGAGATGATAGGTTGGTAAGTAAAAAGTGGTAAGATTGATGTATTAGGATTTAGTCTAACTGTCGTACGATGGTAGATAATTAATCTGACATCAACAAAAAAAAACTAAGTAGGGCAAGTGAAATTGGAATTATCAATTCTGTAATTACGGGGTATGAAGAAGCACTGATCTGGATTATTATATTGAAAGATAAAAGTCCCTTATACTTGGACTTGCTTTATGTTAACAGTGAGAGAGAGCAGATCCAACGTGTCGCGTTAATCACGCCAGAAGCAGAGGTTACTTTTAACTTTTTAGTTTGGTTTGCAGAGACTGGGAGAAAAAGGGACCATCCAGCTTTCACACGCGCGTGTGTACTTTTTGTAGAATTGAAACAAAATGTCGTCATCTATTGTCTCATCCATTTGGCAGAACAAAACAAACTCCTCACAGAATGATTCGATGTACCTGTTGAATTCCGCCGGCATCCCTTCGATCGTGTTTGTTATGTTTGCTATTTTTGAGTTTTTAAATTTTTTAAATTATAACTATTTTTAATTGTTATAATTCTTAACTTCAAAAATTATAAAAATTATTTATTAATTTAATCATGTTTGGTGATAGAGTGCTGGTAGAAATAGGAGAACAATAGTAATAGTAACCACATTAATAGTCATGAGTATTAGTGACAACAAGTGATACTTAACAATAATTGAGCAGTGATGACAGTGAGAATGACAAAGACAATTATTAGTTTTAAAATTGAATAAAAATAATTTAAATATATTTTAAATAATTATATAGTTTAAAATTTGTGTTAAAAAATAAGTAGTCGAAAACTAGTAATCACTTTGAAAATGTCCTTATATATTCGTCTTTATTTTATTTTTTTAGTGATCCTACGTCCAACTTTACACGTAGAACTATAACTCCACAAGTTTAACTAATTTGGTTACAGCCCCACTATTTTGGGTCTTTCAACAATATTAGGTTCAGTTACTTTTTCATCAATGGATCAATTTTTTTTTTAAAATGTTACGAGTAGCTAAATCCCTGTACTTGGGAAGTTGATGTAGCTCGGGATTTAAACCCGTATGGATGAGTATCATTCTTGATTTTATTAATGATATATATAGTTTATCTTTTATTTTTAATGCCTTTAAGAGTTAAACGCACTTTGATTTTGTGATTCGTATGTTGATTGAAAAATAGATGAATTTGACTTAGAAATAGACTCTTTGATTTCATTGCCTTAGGAATACTGTGATGGGTCTCATTAATTCATTTGAGTTAATTAGTTTCATCCTTGAGTTCTTGATAAAATAGTTGAGGAATCAATAATTTTGTTAAGATTTCAAGGGAACTAGTGGATTAAGGAGTTAATCTCTAGTTAACTAAGGAACCAAACATAAATACCATGACGGTGAACTAAGGTGATTTTTCAAAGCTTTGATCCATTGTTACATTAGATAGAAGCCCAACAAAAATGAAAGGCCCAAAATAAAAAACAAGCCGAATAAAAAAAAGGACCAACAAAATTAAGAAAGAAATGAACATAAGTCCATAAATTTTAAACAAAAACTTAAAATAGAGACTCAAACTTTAAGTACATGTTAAAAATAATGGTAAAAAGCGTTAAAATAAAAGTCACAATTATATTAAAATTAATTGGACTTGAGAAAAAGGGTTAAATAATAAAAGATCTAGTATTGATAAATTAATAATCAGTTAAATGGTATATAACTAAGTTGATTACAAGTCTATTTCTAAAATATTTTAGACAAACATATTACTCAAACTTAAACTCATTATTTCTCACGCTCTTGAATCGAGCTTATATTAAAATTCTAATATTTGATATATTATTTTGTTAATTTTTCTTATTTTAATAGAATTTTCTAATCTTGAAATTCATGATCGTTCAAATAGAATAAATATAGCGAATTAGTGCTTAGATCTCTTAATCTTCACAGTACACTTCTCACTTGGCAGACCAATAAGTTTTTAGTGCGATTGTTGGAGATTAATTGTACCCTAATACTATTGGTAGCTATAGAGGTTCAAGACTTGGTATTTTGTTTTTATTTTTAACTTGTTTTAGCTAACTTTTTTATTTATTGGTGCATGCAAAATATAACTGATTCTAGTGCTTTGTTATTTGACTAAAAAATATAGACATGCTATAAAACCATGCATAATATGAATACAAAATTTAGTTACCGCTTAAAAGATGTAATTCTTTAACATTAATTTTTTTATTATTTTTCTATGATAAATGAAGTTGTAAATTATTGTATATAACTTCATATAGATTAGAAAAATCAATATGGTATTTATCACATTAATCAGCTTATTCTTATCACAATGAGGACACAAGGTTTGATCTTCCAACGTTTTGTAAACTAATAAAAAAAACTGTGCAAATAGTTTGATATACTTTCTCTAATTAGTAAAAGTTCCATTTTATCTTTGAAGAGTTGGGATCTTAAGAAGTGAGAATTTCCGCCCTTTGACATGTGATCATTGGTCATTTTCACAATGGATGAAATTTATGTGATTTGTTGTCTAAAAGATGTGAGGGATATCTATTTACACTATATTATAAATTGCGATACTGTTGATGCATAAAATTGAAATGAGTACCGATTAAGAAATCAATAAATAATAATTTTTTAATTAAAAATCATAATAGTAAATATATTAATTTTTTCATGAAATATTTTTACTTTTAATTTTTTTAATTAGACTCTTAAAACTACTGTTCAACATTTTTCAACTGTAAATGATCGCAATTTATTACATTTTAATCTATTTTTGAAATATCACTAAAATCAATGTAGAATTACGAAAACAACGAATGAAAATTCCATAAAGAATTCGACTCAATTTCAGAAAGAAATT